CACACACACACACACACACACACACACACACACACACACACAGGGCCTTGCATGACCTTTTAAACCTCTAAGCTTACCTCTAGTGACACAAGGCCACACCTACTAATGCTTCCTAACAGTCTTCCAACTGGGAACCAAGCATACAGATATATGAACTTTGGAAGACCAATTTCATTCCAACCATTACACACACACACACACACACACACACACACACACACACACACACACACACACACACACAGAGTCACACACACAGTCACACATACTCCTTTCATTCCCTCCCCCTTGTATCCCCTTCTTCCAACAAGTGCCCCTCTTTTATGTTTCTCTTTTGTGGCTTACTGCATTTAATTGGGAGATCTGATCACTTTATAAACAATTTAAAGACAGATTTTTATGTCTTATTCATTATTGTATCCCAGGTACCCAGAACAGGATGTGTCCCATAGTTGGCATACAGATGGTTTAATGGGGAAGCAATTTGGGCTTTAGTTTCCTAAGTGTACCCATAGAAATGTGATTTTGGGGATCCTGTCTTTACAGCAAATGAGAAATGGAAATAACTAACATAATATGGAAACAAAATTGCCCTCTCTCTGCTTGTGCTTTGAGCAACCCCCTTGCACACACATGAAGTTTTTCTAAGTTCTCATTGTCTAACAAAAATATACAACACAGATTGTCCTCCTCCTTGTAGGAAGTATGTGGAGTTCCGGTTGAATACACAAAAAGCTGGTTGACTAGGTAAATGAGTTAGGAAGTGTTCTCATAGCTTTATTGTCTACTTGTACATCACACATGAACATAAGCACAGACAACCTTCCTTAGAGGTGGTTGCCTGGAAGGAGTCTCTGGTTTTAGTCCATTCACACACCAACTTTACATTCAGGTTCATCATGCTGGCCTGGGAGCAGCATGGGTGGGTGTGTTTGGCTGCTGAAGCAGGTGTCTGAAAATTTCAGGTCACAATCGGAGATTCCACAGGCCCTAGATCAGTTGTCTCCTAACTTAGATACTAGAGAGGCATGAGCAGCAAATCCTGTTCTTTCTTCCCTTGTCCCTGGAGAGAGGTTGTTCCCTTTTCCCAAGCTTTAATCAGAAGCTGTTGATTATACTGCAGACTAGGGCAGACCTTGAATGAGGATAAGAAAATCAAGCCAATCAATCCACATTAGCAATAATGATACAAGTTGGCCTTGCCACTGGAGCCCTCTTGATGCTATTTTAAATTGCCTCTGAAAAAAATCTGTCTTACAGAAAGGAAGAGGTTTTATCAGAACGTCAGCATCTCACAGGGTGAAGGTGAGTGTTTAAAAATTTGATGACCTTTTTGTGACTGGTTGGGTACATTTTTTTTTTTATCTTCCGCCAGTTCAGTGGTGGCACTTTTGTCAGATGTTGTCCTTGTGTTTGCTAAAATACAGGAATGGGTCATTCAAATCCACAGTCCCTGAGAATTTTTCATTTGCTCTTTTAAGGTGGATTTGAGATAAACCTGGACCACAGAAAGCTGAAAACTCCCCAAGCCAAGCTTTTTACTGTCCCCAGTGAGGCCTTGGCCATCGCAGTGGCCACTGAATGGGACTCCCAGCAGGATACCATCAAGTTCTACACCATGCACCTGGTAACAAACTTGTAGCAAGCAGACTTTTATCATACAACCTTCTACCTGATGCTCACCAGGCTTCCTGGCAAAAATTTAGATTTCCTTCCATATTATGCTAAGGCTCTGAGGTAGGCTTATCTGCCTAGCTGTAGTCACACTTGTCACTAAACAGGCTTTCCCTGCCTGGCCTGGCCACTAACTCTCAATGTCACCTCCACCCCTATTTTTATTTTTGTTGTTTGGTTAGTTTTGGGTTTTTGTTTGTTTGTTTGTTTTGGTTTTTCGAGACAGGGTTTCTCTGTGGCTTTGGAGGCTGTCCTGGAACTAGCTCTTGTAGACCAGGCTGGTCTTGAACTCACAGAGATCCGCCTGCCTCTGCCTCCCTAGTGCTGGGATTAAAGGCGTGCGCCACCAATGCCTGGCTTAGTTTTGGTTTTTTGAGACAGGGTCTCGTGTCTCAGGTAGTCCTTAAACTTGATTTGTAGCTGCTAAGGACCTTAAACTTGTGCTTTTACCTCCCGAGTGCTGAGATTACAGGCTTGTGTCTGTCTGTACTGTGTATGCAGTGCTAGGGATTGTCTTATGTATGCTAGATAAATATGCCATGTCTCAGTCACATCACTCTTATTTTTTCTATTACTTTTTCTATTTTTGAGACAGGGTCTTTTTTTGTGCCCCTGGTTCTCCTAGAACTTGCTACATAGACCGACAGTCTGGCCTTGAACTCACAGAGACCTTCCTACCTCTGCCTAGGATTAAAGACCTTCCTGCCTAGGTGCTAGGATTAAAGGAATGTGCTGCCATACCTAAGCCCAACCTTTATTTTTTTATTATTGCAGCTAGTCACTTGTTTCATCACCAGTTAATCTAAAATGGCCTGTTTTTATATTTACATGTTTATTGCCCGTGTCTTTCATAACTCAGTGAGTGACAGAAGGGCAATGGCCATGTTCTTGTTACTCAGTAGTTCCAGCAGGAAGTATTGATGGAGCTCAGTAAACACCAGTAAGGTGTGGGAACCAGGCAGCCAGATGGGTAAGGAAAGGAGGTTGCTCCCCAGAGTCACCCATTCAGGGTTGAATGCTCTTAGGCTCCTGAAGCCCTTCTTCTGCAGCGTAGTTGGACTTACATGATGGTCAACCTTTCTCAGCCCAATGATGGCCACCTTATGGTACTACCCACCTTATGGAGCCATGGTTGACCAGATGATACCATGCATGGAGCCCTCATGTGATTCCAGGGAAGGCAGCAGTCACTTCTGGGGTTAGGTGTTCTCATCCTGGTCATTGCTGTGATCTACTTTGACATACAGACCCAGGTGGACCTCCTCAGCAGTGTAGTCTACTTTTTGATTGTCTAGTATAATCAGATCGACGAGGTCACAATCTGATGCCTAGAGCAGTCTTGGAAGCCTCTTATTGATGAGGTAACACTAGAAAAATATCTTGATCCCAGTTTGAATTGCTGCCTTGTCCTCTGACGTGTCAAATAAACTGATAAAGCTCTTCAATCAGTTTTGAGTTTCATGCCTTCATTATTGTATTGGAGTTACGTATTTCACCTCAGTTTCCACATCTAAAATGGATAGAATAGTGTCATCTGCCCCAAAGTATTGTACAGATTAACCTGGTAGTTACAAACATGAAAATACATAAATATATCCACTGAAACTTTGAAGAAGTTCATTAATCCAGGACCACTGAGAGTCCAGTGAATCCCATGAACACAGTGGAGTTTGAACATGGAGCCTGACTTTTGGATCCACTCAGCAGATAGGTTGCTGCTGTGGCTATGACGATGACTCTGATAGGTGGCTCAGGTGTACTTACCTGCTATTATATCAGAACTCACATGTGGGTGACAGAGCATTTTCTGCCTTTTCATTCAGACCACATTGTGCAACACATCCTTGGACAATCCAACCCAGCGAAACAAGGATCAGATGATCCGGGCAGCTGTAAAGTTCTTAGACACTGACACCATTTGGTAAGTGGCATTAGATGAACAATCCTCTTGGGTGGTGTGAGCCTCTTAGTCTGTTTTGCCTCATTTGTTCAGAGCATATCAGTGGAGGAAAAGGCAAGACCTTTGCCATTGCAGGAAGGTAGCCTCCTTGACATGATGAACCCTGGAGGAGGATTCTCAGTCTGCCCTAGCACAGGGACTCCTTGATTGAGCTGAGTTGGCATGGAGATGTGTGCCATTCTCACAGACTCCAGAACCACAGGACCATGGGCCAACCCCTAGCAGGGCATCTAGCCTTGATGTCTGGCCCTCTGAATGTTTATGTGTTGGCATCCATGTAATTACAGGTGGCAATAGTTAGGGACTGGTCTATCCCGGTTCTGAATTCTCCCCTCGTGTCTATATTCTTTGCTTGTTGGTCAGTAATATTGAAGGAACATTGGAGAACCAACTGAATGTCTGAGCATTACTGTGCCTGTTGGCCCCATTACTCAGAAGCTTTGAGTCACCGTAGGGATTACTTGGGGCATTAGCATAGGTACTCTGGAAGAGGGTGGGCTCCAGGATCACTTAGAGCTTGGAGTAGGAAACCTAATCTGTTTTTGCTAGAACTCATCAGCTTGTAGGGAACAGAACCCATTAAGCTTCCCTTTGGCAAAGGGGGCTTTTTGGAAACTATACAGGTTCTAACAAGCAAGCAAAGGCAGTCCCCCCCCACCTTCTACCTGCCGTGTCTCTTCAGCTCCAGGATTGGATAGTAGTAGAGGCCTCCTACTCTGCTTTCAGCAGCCCAGCTTTTCTGCATACCCATGCCCCCTCTGTTCCCCTCTGCTTACCCGAAACTAGCTTTCTGTGGTACCCTAGGGTTCCCATCCATGAGGTTTAGTAGCTTAGCTCCCATCAACTGCCCCTTCTGTGTCTATCAAAATGAATTGTACCACCTGTGGTGATCCACTTGGATAAAGGAGGTGGCTGGGCTCCTGAAGCATCAGCAGGCAGTTGGTCCTTGGCCAGGAGCAGAGGTCTTGGTGGAGCTGTCCACCCATTAGTATTGCAGATCTGCTTTTGAGTAGCACTAACATGGCTGCAAATTTGGACCTGTCAAGTATTTGGGAGCCAGAGGATAGTGGATTGCAACTCAAGCTACACCAAGATTTCTTGGAGGGCATATGCTTGTCATCAGTGTGGGATTTATCTGAGAAGGTGTCCCAAGTGAGGCTAGAGCTGATGCTGCTGGCCCCAAGGCTGCACTCTGAGAACCAGTGCTTTATGGGACAAGACTTAGGATGCAGGGTTGGTGGTGCAAAGTTTTTGCTATTGCCCTTTGCATTTTCCTTTTCTGTCCCTCAATGAAGGAATTGTACTTTTTTATTAATGAAGGTGGTTTTTACAATGAATTAGCTACAGGGTGGAAGAGCCAGAGACATTAGTGGAACTTCAGAAGAACGAATGGGATCCAGTCATAGAATGGGCTGAGAAAAGGTAAGATGTACAGCCCCACACAGAACGTTAAATAGGCCACGTATTGGGTTGTTGGCTGGGGTCAGGGCCGCACAGCACACCTGAAATCTCACGCTAGCTTTCTGAGCCAGAACTCTCCTGAGCTTGGGCTCCCTCAGGTTTTGAGAGATAGAGGTTATCTTGGAAAACATGTTCCTCAAATTCATTTTGGCCATCATGCCTTGAATACCTGCTACTGTAGTATACTTTGACAAATGTATGCCTGTAGGGGCAGCTTTGTGTCCCCAAGAAGCACCAAAGGCCTCAGGCCTCTATCCCCAGGCAGGTATCTGAATGTTGGTTTCCTTGATTTGAGATGGACTAATCCTGCCAGCCAGGCTGGTGGGAGGAATAATAAGCCAGCAATGTGCTTAGCATTCTCTGCGGAAGAGATAGCAACTCAAATTTTGGCTTTTTGTTTTATTTTGTTTTTCAAGACAGGGTTTCTCTGTATAACAGCCCTGACTGTCTTGGAACTTGCTCTGTAGACCAGGCTGGCCTCAAACTCACAGAAACCCACCTGCCTTTGCCTCCCAAGTGCTGGGATTAAAGGCATGTGCCACCAACGCCCGGCTTTTTTTTTTTTTTTTTTTTTTTTTTTAATCTTGCACTGTTAAGTGAAACTCAGTGTATAATAAGATACACATGTACATGAACAAAGATCAGGATAGCTTTCTGCAATGTTGTAGATGTGTGGTTTCAAAGGATGGATGATACTCAACAGTTTCCTTAACAGAAGACTTTTGTGCTTGTGAGTATAGAATTGAACAGATACTGAGAAGGTGACAAAATAAAGTCAGGTCAGTTCTTTCCAAGTGAAATGTGGATGGCTCCATGGCACTGCCTTGTTTACAGGGCTTTGTAACAAATGCTAGATGGTTTTTCTTCTGTCATAACAATTTTCACATAAATTATTACTTGCTACATATCTCTTTGGTGCTCACAATGACCCAGGCATCTTGACAGGGCTATTTTTATTTGTTTTGTTTTCTTGAGATAGGGTCTCATGTAGTCCAGGCTAGCCTCAAACCCACTATGTAGGGACTACTGGCCTTCTGCTCCTGATCCTCCTGCCTCTGCTTTCTGAGTGCTGTGATTACAAGTGTGCATCTCATGTACTGCCATCCTGGGGTTTTAAAGGGAAAACACATATGCCATATCTAGGTTTTGTTTGTTTGTTTTGTTTTTTTGCTTCTAGTCAAAAGCTGGACTGCTTTTGAGAGGCAGAGTGCCAAAGACATGCTGATGCCTTTTCCCTTTAGATACGGCGTGGAGATCGGCTCCTCCACAAGCATAATGGGACCCAGCATACCTACCCAGACCCGAGAGGTGCTTACCAGCCACTTGTCCTCTTACAACATGTGGGCCCTACAAGGAACAAGTTGGGCTTCTGTAGTCCTTGAGGCTTGGGTACATATTGACACATCCCTGCTGAGTGCCCTGTGCATGGCGGCTAAGTAGCTCTAGTGCCCAACCCTTTTACTTAGCACTCCAGGGTCATACATCCTCCAGGGAAAGTCTCAACTCGGTGTATCATTAGTTTGGACCCTTATACCCATCTGTAAACCAATTACTGAGTAAGGCTTGGGGCCTACTCTAATTGACCAGGTTCAGGTCATATGCCTATCCAGGAAAAAGAGAGGTGAGTCACCCAAGAAAAGAAATAGTATTCTGACAGAAGAGTATGTCAAGCCTCAGGTGGGTCCTCGGATGGTGCATCCTTCCTCCATTCCATGAGGGCACAGAAACTGACAGGCAGTGGCTGGAGTGGCTAACTTGGCTTTTTTTTCCCCCCCCCCCCCCAGGGATTGAGTTTGTAGTGGCCCAGCTCAAGTCCATGGTGCTGACCTTGGGCCTGATTGACCGGCGCCTGACTGTGGAGCAGGCTGTGCTTCTGTCACGTCTGGAGGAGGAGTACCAGGTAAGGTTCTGATCTCAGTTCTACCTCACCCCTTTCTGATTTGGGCTCACTGAGCTTTATTACTTTGTACATAAAAGAAAATCAAACTAAGGAACAATAGAGGTGTAAGTGTTGCTGGGGCTAGGGGTGTGGCTCAGTGCTAGAGCACTAGCCTAGTGTGCTCTGGGCCCTAGGTTCCATCATCAGCACCACACACACACATATGCCCATGCAGTGGAAAGGTCCAGAATTGCTCAGCACTCTCCTTGCCCCCAGGTCCTCTTCAACAGCTTGATTGGATAGGAGTTGTACTTACCCATATCTTGCATAAGAATAAACTGGGGTACTAGATTGCACTTCTAGAGAATGTTCCACTGGGGTTTGCACCCATGTCTGGGTGACTAGGGCAAAGGCTCTTCAGGCTCATGGACAGATAAGGTATTTGGGCCTCATCTGTCCTACATTTGTATTCTAAGTTAGTAGGAGTTCACTTCCTGATATTTCTCCTGGCTGGCAGAGGAGCCAAGGAGTAGCTGCTGCTCAGACACACATTTGATTTAGGAGGCAGAAAAACTAAGGTTTTTCTATTTTGTTTGCATTTTTGTTTTTGGTTTCAGTTTTTGCTTTATTTTGTTGAAAGAGAGTCCCATGTAGTCCATACTAAGCCTTGAGCTCATTGTGTATCTGAGCCTTACTATGAACTTCTGATCTTCCTGCCTCTACCTCCCAAGTGCTGAGATAATGAATATGTGTCACAATGGCTAGCTAGTTTACTTCTTGGGGGGTGAGGGCTTCAGACAGGTCTTGCTATATAGTCCTGACTGTTCTGAAACTTAACTGTGTAGACTAGCCTGGCCTGGCCTGGGACGTATGAAGATGCTCTTGTTCTTACCTCCTGAACGCTGAGATCACAAATGTGCCACTGTGCCTGGCTTTTGTTTGCATTTTTATTTTATTTCTCTGTCTCTGTCTCTCTGTCTCTCTGTCTGTCTCTCTCTCTCTCTCTGTGTTTACATTTGTGTAGGTGCTTATGCAGGTACAGATACATATGTGCACATTCTGGTGAGGTTGACATGAGGTATCTTCCTCAATTCTCTACCTTTATGTTGAGGCAGGATCTCTTGCTTGAACCCAGGGTTCATCAATTTGGCTACTGTAGTTAGCCAGTTGCTCTAGAAAATCCCTGTCTCTGCCTCTGAAGAGCTAGGATTGTAGGTGGGCTGCCACACCCACTTGGCTTTTATGTGGGTGCTGGGATCTGAACTCAGATCGTCATCCTTATGCATCAGGTGCTGAGCCACCTTCCCAGCCCCTGTTTGCATCTTTAACATTGAGAACTTGGTGTTCCTTGTGGTCCTGTGGGTGTTGCTATTACTTCAGCCTCAGAAGGTTAATGTTATTAGGAGTTGGTTCCTATGTGATTAAAAACCTTTTTTGGGGATATTTAATCTTGGAAAGATGCTAGGGACAACTATTTCTATACAGCAGAGGAGAGCCATCCATTGATGTCAGCCTTTCCATGGGAAGGGCTGATGTCAGCTGTTAGGACCATAGGGCTAGTACAAGACCAGGAAATATGGTTGCTAGCTTAGATTCTGCTTTTGACTATAGGATCCAAGCCAGACTATCTTCTGAACTTTGGATTTGATCCCACACAAAATGAGGGATGACCTGAAGTGAAGGTGAAAATTATCTCAGATGATGTATTTCAGTTGCGCAAACCAAGACCAGGCAGCCAGTAATGCAGGTAGCTTGTGTGACCTGAAAGATTTTGTATTCCTGGGTGATCTGGCCAGGCCTGCCGGACTCCTGCAGAGAGAGGCCAGCTGGATAGATTTGAGACACTTGTGTCTGGATAGCCATGGTTTGCCCAGAGCTCCGGACCCTCTGGGAGTTCTGAGAGGCTCTACAGCTTGCTTGCTTCTAGCATGCTGCACAGTCTGTTCTGCTGCTCCTTAGGGATCTGAACCAAGTTGCCTGTAGCCTGGCTTCATTTATTCACTGCACTCTCATCATGGTGCTTATAGCCCTGAAGGACAAGGAGATACAACTCATAGAAGATGGCAGTTTGCAGGCTTTTTCATGCTGGCTTCCTGGTCAGAGTGATGTAAAGGGTCATATGGGAAAAGCTTCATTAGAGGAGACACAGTGGGATTCCAGTGCCTGCCTATTTAGCAGTGGGCAGCCCCTGGCTGGGATATACTCCTCTCAGACTATCTAAGCCCCAGACAGCAAAGGAGTCTTCTCCAGCTTCCTAAATGTTATTACCAGATGACCCACATGGGTCTTATGTGTTTGGTAGGATCATGACTCACAACCCTTAGCCCAGTGATGGGAATGGGATGTTATTTAGGTCACCAGGCAAGGCTACTCACTCAGAAGCTTGTTTTTCCCTCTCCTTAGATCCAGAAGTGGGGCAACATTGAATGGGCCCACGACTATGAGCTCCAGGAGCTTCGGGCTCGCACTGCCGCTGGTACCCTTTTTGTCCACCTCTGCTTGGAAAGCTCTGAGGACAAGAACAAGCTCCTACAAGAGTGAGGCCTGGGTTGCAAATGCTGGCTGAAAGGAACTGCACAGACACAGGGTCTCTGATCTGGGCTTCCCTGGCTGTTGGAACTCTGTACCCAGTGAAGCTCTTTTGGCCTGTACCTATCACGCTATACTTGTGGAGTACCCAGTGTGTGCCTGGGTCTTCCCTGGCCTTTGTGGCTTGGCCTTATCCAGAAACACCCTGTGATGCCCTAGAGACACAGTATGCCTGTCTTGAGGTCAGACAGGTTCCAACCCAGGTGCCTTTGGCCTGGTCAGCAGTGAAGGAGGCATAGAGACTTTCTCTTGACCCTGATTTTATTAAATGTTTTTTCATTCTGGAAAATATCAAGCCTCATTTTCATCTGAGTCTCAGCATTTCTCCATTCTTGTTTTATCTAAGCTCTGTCACCATTTTTACATCTGCTACCAATGGCTGGAAACCTCACGGCAGGGAAGGGGCAAGAAACAAGCCATCACCACACACAACCACTTTTCATCTTCAGCCCTCAGCCTGAAGGCCTTTGTCCCCTCCTGGCCTTTCATCAGATGATCTTTTGAAAGTAAGTCTTTGGTCTAAGCTGCTTGGTTGCTGTTTGTTATATTCTTAAAAAAAAAAATAAAATATGACTCCAAAAATATAAGTTGTTTCTGGGATGAACACAAAGATGGTCCTGTCCTGGTTACTTACATGCAGTGCTATGATCTGGATCTGGGGTGTCCTCCTGTTGTGCCATTATGTCCTGTGGGTATGCCATGGTCATTGGTTTCTTAAAATCAGGGCAGCTTTAATACCAACACAGGATTGGGCTCATTAATATCCCTCATGGATGATGAGAGAATTCATCTACTAAATAAATAGTTAACAATTGCTAGAATAATCCTAATATTCTCACTGGTTCTCTAGGCTAGACTGAGTAGAATTGTTTCTTTGGTTTGTCATTACCTAGGTGAGAGGCAGACTCTTCAGAAAGTCACATATACTTGGTGCCTGAATAAAGACAAATATGAACCAAATATGAGCCGTGGAGGAGCAGCTGCAGCTGAGGCTGAGCTGTCTGAGAGTAGAGAACAGTCCCTGAGTGGCAGACTTCACCTATATGGTATATAGTAGGTCTTGCTATTGTGGCAGTTTGTGGCCCCTGCTGTGGGTAATAAGACCTGTAGCTGAGGCTGAGACATCTGAAGGTGGTGGCTCCTTGTGGTGGGGTGATTACAGAATGGCCAGGGGATGACAGTGACATGCCTTCTCCATGAGTGGGGTCTTAGAGTACAGGGCATGCCCTCAAATGGCTGATGAACTTGAGAACATATTACAGTCGCTGAAAGTAGTACCTATGTGAAGGACTCCTAAGCAGACTATGTTAGCAGTTACATGTTTTTACTGAGACATGCAACTGAGGCTGAGCTGACTGCCTAAAAAGAACTACATAAGAAAGAGCTTACAGTGGGAAGGTGCCAATACTGTCTTCTGCATCAGCCTCAGGGACAGTAGAAAAGGGAGGGCTGAGAATGAAGTGTGACAGAAGATACCTCCAGATCCAGTCAGTGTAAAGGAAAGGGAAAGTCCATGTCGATGCTGGTCGTAATGGTCCTGTGCAGAGAACTTTTATAGTCAGGGAATAAAAAACTTTGACTTTTTTTAAACCAGAAAAGCAATATACCCAGGACAGAGATTATAAGTAGGAAACAGTAAAAGTGGTGAGCTATCCAAAGGTTAGATTCTGAGGACACTTTATGCCAGATTAATGTCCTTGGAACATATCAAATTTTAAAAGATTCACATTGATATATATATATATATATATATATATATCAAATTTTAATAGATTTACATTGAATAATGAAAACTAATGAAAGATAAAAGGCATCAAGATGAAAGTAAAAGTGAAACTTGATGGAATAGTTAAATGTGTAGAAATGCACAAAAACAGTGTCCTGACACTTTGAGAAGCATTCTTCAGGAGAAAGAGATACTTCTAGAAGTAAACTTTAACAGTAATTCCTAACAGAACATACAAGGAATTTAAATTTTCTTATAAACTGTAAGATTTTGTGCTTGGTGGTTGGTTTTTTGTTTACTTGCTTGCTTGTTGGTTTTTGTTTGATTTTTTTTTTTTTTCTTTTTGAGTTCCTGGAACTCACTCCATATATCAGGTCTGACCTTGAACTCACAGAGATCCTCCTGCCTCTGCCTCCCGAATGCTGGGATTAAAGGGATGCACCATCACTGCCCGGCTGTTTGTTTAAGATAGTGTCTCACTTTATAGTCCAGGCTAGTCTGCAACTATGTAGCTCAGACTGACCTCAAATTTGTATCAGTGGTCCTGCTTCAGCCTCCTAAGTGTTGGGATTACAGGTGTGTGACACCATACCTAGCAATGCTGTCTTTGAACTGCTTGAACTGGGAAAATTTTGTTTTGTTTTTGTTTTTTGTTTTGTTTTGTTTTTTGTTTTTTTTGGAGACAGGGTTTTTCTATGGCTTTGGAGACTGTCCTGGAACTAGCTCTTGTAGACCAGGCTGGTCTCCAACTCACAGAGATCCGCCTGTCTCTGCCTCCTGAGCGCTGGGACTAAAGGTGTGCGCCACCACCGCCTGGCTGAATGGGGGAAATTTTTTAAATTTAATTTTATGTGTATGTATATTTTGTCTGCATGTATGTCTTTGCACCATGCATATGCAGTACATGTGGGAGCCAGAAGAGGGCATTGGGTCCCCTGGAATGGAGTTAGAGATGGTTGGGAGCTGCCATATTGATGCTGGGAATTGAACCCTGGCTCTTTGAAAGAGCAGTAAATGCTCTTAACTACTGAACCATCTCTCTAGTTATGGGAAAAACTTTTAAACAACTAAGTGTCTTGTTGTCTGGCTTACGAGGCTGTGAGATGGGACACATGGGTTCAGTGTGAGTGCTTTGGAATCAGAGAAACTGAATAATAGAAGTGCTCATCCTTCCTTGAAACCAAGGTTGCTTAACTTGGGAAATCAGTCCCCATAAGTATCAGGAGCTGGAGGACAACAGAGGAAGGACAGCTGAGGAGGCTAGGTGTGAGAAAAGTGAGTAGACACCTAGTCCCTTGGGTCTGAAGGCTGGGTGTGCAGGAGTTAAGGGATCAGTTAATTCAGCTGGGGTCTCTGCTATGGGGTTTTGGCTTTGCTGACCCCCACAGAGGGGCCTGAGGTAGGAGAGGGTCTGGCAGAGCTGTATGATTTGGACTAGGCTGTAAATCAAGCATGGAGGGTAAGAGAAAAAGAAAAGCAGACAAGAGCCTGTCTAACTCAGTCAAAAGCAAACATGGCAAGTGTGATGGCTGTTCTTGGTTGTCAACTTGACTATATTTGGAAATAACTAAAACCCAAACGACTGGGCACATCTGCATTTTTTTCTTTCTTTTTTGGGGGGTGGGTGTTTTTGAAGTGTAGCCTTGCTGTCTTGGAACTCCCTTTGTAGACTGTACTGGTGCCCAACTCGGAGATCCCTGCCTTTGCCTCCCAAGTGCTGGGATTTTTTTTTTTTTTCTTAATTCATTTGTGGTAGAAGATCCACTTCTAATCTGGATCTTTGAGGTGGGAAGATCCACCTTTAATGTGGGCCACACCTTCAGCTGGAAGCCTATATAAAGCACATGGACGAAGAAGGAAGCTCTCTTTCTCTGCTTGTTCGCTCTCACTGCCAGGTCCATTCCTTCACTGTCCTTAGAGCCTACTTCTTCAGGATTCCAGCAAATCTAGCCTCATGTACTGAACAACTACTGGATTCTTAGACCTTCCAGTGTTAGACAGCCATTGCTGCATTAGCTGGACCACAGCATGCAAACCATTCTAATAAATCTTGTACTCATATATCTAGAGAGCTCTGATTATTAATACAGCAAGATTCCTTTCAAGGTGGAGCTTTTAGTAAAAGCTGCCAAGTCAGAACTTACAAGCCTCTGAAAGACATTAAAGCTTGAACAGCCGCTCTCAGAAGACGCTATATTTGTGGAGTACCCACAAATTGTGGAGTACTCCTCTCAGGAGACATGGCAGCATAGATTAAAAAGGTTATGCTTGTCCCCCTCTCCCACCCCCAGAGTAAGCTGTATTCATTTCTTTCCTACAAGAAAGTATATTGGGTATAGAGATATTTGTCCTGCCTTTGAGTAGCCAGGTGTGCTTAAGGGGCGGGAGAAGCCACAGGTGTGCTGGCTAAAACCCTATTGACCTGCGGAGCCAAATTGAGTGGTTGGTATAATAGAGGAGCATGGCCCAGCTCTCCTCAGCCCTCTGAGCTCATTAGTTTGGAGAGGTGTATGTTGGGCACAGGATGAGGAGACATGTAGGCTTACAGAGAACATCTGGATGGCAGAGCTAAATAAATAACACAGTGTCTCCCACTACACCACTGTATAACCTTTCTTCTTTGAGGAAGTTACATAAACAGCAGACCCTTTCATGTTCTTTTGGACCTACTAAAATTTTTTAGTGTCCTTAGCAGCTGAATCCTTAGTCCAGTTGGCACTTGTTTGGAACAGATGCTGGTGGGCCTTCAGAGAACCTGCCTACTCTATAAAAAGGATCCATCACACAATGTTAATTTCTGAGAGGTTTTCAGCTTAGAAATGTATCTGAAGGGCATGCAAATGTACTCGGAGGAGCAAGGATGGGAAATCATGGGCAGGCAACAACGGAACATCTTGAAGAATTTTGTGGTTAGGTAAGACAGGTGCCACCCGACAAGGTGATTGAGACATTCCTACAGCAGCCTGTGTCTTAAAAAACAGGTGTCACCAAGCATGGTGCCTGCCTTTAATCCCAGCACTTGGGAGACAGAGGCAAGATCTCTGAGGCCTGGTCTACAGTTAGTTCCAGGACAGCCAAGACTACTACATAATGAGACCCTGTCTCAAAAAAGGCAAAAACAAACAACAACAACAACAAAAACCTGAGTGTCAACTCAGAAGCCACCTGCATGAGTAGAAAATTCTAGTGCCAGGGATGACCACCCTGAGTTGTTAGCGAGGAGGTTCCTTAGGTACACACACAATTCACACAGTTCCCACTGCTGTTGGTTGCAGGCCAGAACTGCAAGCTCCTTGCCTACTGGTGTGCTGGTAGTTTGGAGAATACTGTGCAGACTGCTAGGGGAGAATTCTTACCAATGATCCTGTTCAGCTGTGGACACCAAGTGTTATGCTATCAGCATGTTGTGCAAGATTCAGCCACTGGTGCAATAGTGGCATGATATATGGGTACCAAAAAAACTATGGTCCATTTGGATTTAAGATCCATTCCACAGTGGGGACCCATGCCAGACTCAGAATCTGTGGCAAAGGAGGACATAGGTTTTAGTGGAGAAGCTGTCACTGTCTTGTTAAATGAATATAATTTACCGTCAGATTGTGTGTGCCCTCTCTACCGTGCTTTTGCTTCGTACCCCCTTCTCACCCTACCCCTCTGTTTTGAGACAGCTTGTCTTATGGCTGAAGGTGACCTGGGATTACAGCTGTGTGCCCTGATCAAATTCATTTCCACTATCTGTGCTTATGCCCAGAGATTTTTGCTGTGGTTGGCCTTCATTAACAGTGCTTTTCATATTAAAGAATGGAGGTTGTTGCAGAGACACAACTGATCAAGTGCTGGGAATAAGTGGGTATTGAGGTG